GCTCAGTAATGACATCTGTGATTGCCCCGCGCTGTGAACAATACCCTCTGGGGCTCAGCCCATACGGAGGGGGTTATGCAGTACAATCAGTGGTACCGGCTCTGTCACAGTCCATCACACGAACAGAAGTGATCCTGGGAACAAACAAGACTATACACATGCAGTCCCTCGCACTTGTACAACACCATAAACTGAATGCCAACGTAAACCAGTCGTTCTCGGGTGCCGCACACAGTTGCGCACTTCCGCCGATGCACTGCGCCAGCGGCTACGTCTTGGCCGCCGCGCCACATCGACGGGGTGGAACTGCAGGCAGGACGCGCGTGGCCTGAGGGAAACCCTGGTCGTTACTTAATGCAAAGCCTCTTTCCAGCTGGCATAGATAAGGCCCCTATTTCCAACCGGCCTCTTCTTTCATCATATACTTATACGCGCGCGAGCTATCAATCGTCTCCTGATGTTGGCTCCAAACACGAAGACGATCTATTGGCCTTCCTAATCCCTCTGTTTCAGCTGTTCCAAAGTGCTGATCTGTGTCTGTAGAGAGGCTTTAGATGAAAATAAGGAGCCCTCGCCACCCGCCCCTCGAACGAGAGATTTGGTTACAAAGAACACAATGGTAACTAGCAGCACGGACTTAGGCTGCGATAGGGTCGGCCGGGGGGGGGGGTTACCTTGGTTGGTGATTGACTAATGGTTACACACGCCAAGAAACGTTATGACATCATAAAGTGGCCAAATCAGGATTTTTATAATAAATGGATCAGACACAAAGAGAGGGGGGTCTTTGATACTGAAACCTTTCAGACTCTCTTTACACAGAGGGGACAAAAGTGGTTATTTATAAACGGCACAAAGTTCAAATCAAGCAATTCTGATTGGTTCTTAGCCCGTGATATAATGAGCGTATAACAACGGGTAGAATGTAAGTTACTTTTCACACAAGTCAGATCCCTCCGCGTCCTGAGACAAACAGTATACCGTTGGGCCGAAAAGCAACTTTCATGATGGAACAACAAGCACGACGAGAGTAAACGGCAAAACATATTCAGTGGGTGCAGTTCCTTTGGCATGAGCGCAGGGATAGCGTGATCCATGTTTTAGCAGTTGTTTACATTAATGTATATGTCCTACTGTTTAATTCTAGCAACGATGATTCCAGCATCTGTAAGCAAATGGCTTCCGTGATCACTCATCCAGTTGACCTAATCGAGACTGCTTGCTTGACGTGTCAGATTATATACTCCACTATCTCCGTCCCCGAGATTGTCTTCCGTAGCTCTGAAACAGATTCAGCACCAGATGGGAAACACTAACAGTCATACTTCGATCTCGGGGGCTCTGTACAAGACCCGCATCAGGAAAGCTTTGGATGGTGGCTACTTCAGTGCTCTACCTGCTCGATCACGTAGCTCTGCTTGAGTACGACATGCAGAGGCTACGTGAAGAGCAGGTAGTACCAACCTGGAAAGTTAGCACCATTCAAAGCTTTCTGATGCGGGTCCTTGAAACAAAGGCAGAGAAATTATGACTGTTAAGTGCCACAGGGTGCGAAAGCTCTCTCCAGAGCTTACTGGAAGCCCATCTCCGGGACCGGAGAAAGTGAGCAATTTCTCGCCACGCCAAGCAACAGCCTCGAACACCTCAACCTGTACAAGTGGACCACGTAAGCCATGCCTACTGGATGCTGGACAGTTTTTCAGTGATGTACAATAAACCAGCAACATACACCATAATGTAAATAAACCGGCCAAACAAGATGGATCAACGCTCTCTGTCTAATATGTTCGCTTGCTGTTAGTGTTGTTGCATGCAACCCACCTTGCATCTATGTTTGTGCAGAAGCCACGGGAAGGACGATTTTATTTTGAACATCATTATTTACTATAAAAACACTTATTAAATTAGAGTAATGTATTTTTTCTTTCATATTGCCACTCTTGGTAAACCGTTTTATAAAAGCAATAGATCACTTCAGGCCGTGATATATGCTCATTATATCACAGCTAAGTGGGGTTGCGACCTTCCGCTTCGTGTCGGGGCCGGAACCACGCCCCCTTAGCTGTGATATAACTGCAGCATATACCACGGCCTGTCGTGAGCTACTTGCTTTATTATAAAACGGACAGTCAATCAAGCAATCTGATGGTTTCTTAAGCCGTGATATAATGAGAGATGTATATCACGGTAGAATTGTAGTTAGCTTTTCACAAGAAGTCCAGTATCCCTCCGCGTCTGAGAGAAGCTACAACCGTTACATTACGTCCGTTACGAAACTAACTAACTAACTAACAAAGCTTAAGATGGAAACATGTAAGGGATAATGTGCAGCAAGGACTTATCGACCGTTGTTAAGGACGCTCACATCAGCAGAAAGAAGTCCGGTCGATTTAACTGCATGGAGTTTGCTTTTCAAACCGGGACAAGAAAACAGCAGAGAAGTAACGGGGCAGAAACCCTCCGCCCTCCGCCTGTCGTGAGCTGTTGCTCTAATGCATAGACTGCTACTCTTTCAGCTGCATATATTAAACGTTTTGTTCTCCAACGTACCTGAGCGTCCGCAGTCGGAGCAGGAAACCAGCTCCTCTGATTGGCCGGTCTTGTGGTTGGTTTTGGAGTCTCCCAGGCAGAAATCACAGTATTTATTAGGCAATGCAATACCATCTGGGCCCTTCTTGGCAGCTGAGAAATAGGGCGAAAGAGTGCATCAGCATTCAGCTTCTCAAAAGTCCAGCTTTACTTTGAACGATCTGAACTCTCCGAATGATCTCTTACTTTTTGGATCGTTGGGCATCGGCAGATTGGGCTCGCTGATCTCCATCTCCTCCTTCTCTTCCTCACCCTCCTCCTCGGCCAGGTGGGAGTGGGCGTAGTGGTAGCTCAGGCCGGGACGGTTCTTGTAGCGCTTCCCACAGACTGCCACCAAAACCAGAAAAAAACACATGTATGAAAACAGAGAATACACGAGTGGAGTCCACGAGTCTATGCAGTACGAAGACAGTAGTGAACAGGGGGGGGACTCAGGGGGTATTACTTCTGATCAGAAGATATCAAAAGGACAGTTGAGAGCAACATAAATACTTTCCACTATTGTATAATTCTATTGTTCAGATTGTTGTATTTTAGTAGCCGTCCTTTACGATGACACACTGATTTGAGCAGCCTTTTTAGATAATCTAGTAGATTAAATAGCAACTGTTCAGAAGTAGGATATCCATAACCGTCAAAAGGTTTCATTTTACAAGCATTTTACATTTCAACTTCTATTTACAGTGTTTGGGACAGGAGGGAGGTCACTTCAAAACCCAGAGTTTCGGTTGTATCCTACTTTATGTTCAATAAGCAACGACATTAGAGGGAAAGGTGAAGCGGTTGAATATGAAGAACATGATCTGATGCAATGGCGGACACCACCTCCTCTTGTCTGGAGCTGCTGTGACATGTGTTTAATAAAATCATTGGGATAACATCCGAGCCACTGAAAGCAACACGCATCTGCAATCATTTTCTTACTTCTTCAATTTAAGAGCAGAACTCTGGGGCGTTTATCAAGTGGCTCCTTGTAATAAACTCATTCAACTCTATGCCCTCTCAAAAGGACATTCGAGTGTATATGACATCTGTAAATTCACATTAATAAATCATAGCAACGTGGGGCTGATGTGACCATATGTGTAATGTTTCAGATCTGAAGTCAGTCTGTGGGGTACGAGGTGCCGGTGTGATTGTTTAAGGGTTAGTCTTTGACATCATGAGGGACAAAGATGCTACCGTGTGTCGCCATCATCCCAGGGAGTGTGTGTGAGGTTTGTGAGGAGATGACGCCCAATGACAAAGCACTTCCTCTTTCACTTCCATATTTTCTCTAATGTTCACTTCCCTTAAAGGCTGAATGTTCCTTTCTTTTTTACGGAGCATTTGAGTGAAGTTGCTCAAGACGCACAGTTAGTCACATGCCAAGTTATTGTGTGCATACAGACTCGATTCAAAACAAAAAGGCAGCACATGGAACTTGAATGAGACTGTGCCGGGTGCAAAGGTGGAGCAGAGGAATGAAGGAACAAGAAGATTGAGATTCAGTCAAATGGAACAAACCTAAAGACACGTCACAAAGAGAGATGAAAACTAAAGCTTCTTATCTTAATCTGTGGGGCATTCAGGTCCAGATTAAAAAAAAGGGACAAATGACTTTTTGTGGGACACAGCTTATCTTCTGTAAGGTGAAAGGGCCTACTGTTGAGACAGATCCATAACAACATGATTTTGATCACATTCATTGCAGTGAGGACAAAAGACAGACAGGAGTAAAAGGAACGAGAGAAGTATACCTCTTTCAGAAGGTTTTGAAATATGCTTTTGTTTGATAGTGTCTGAAAGAGAGAAGAGAAGGAGAAGAGACACAGACAGAGACTCAGAGGAATACGATCAGAGACGCTCAGAGGGTCACAGTCAGCAGCTGGAAGGGCTTATAAGAAAAACACATCAAGCCGTACATCTGACAACACCATCGAACTGAGAGGAACATTTCCCCCCAGAAAGTGGAGACATTTGAAAAGTCTGGCTAAGAAATCAAACTAGAAATGTTTGATATAATAATGACAAACAAAACAATACAGCCGAGCACAAAGTAGCTTTTCTAAATACAGTAACACCTCTTATAGGGACTAGAGATGTCCCGATCCGATCACGTGATCGGGGATCGGAGCCGATCACGTGATTTTCAAAAGATCGGAATCGGGAAAAAATCGGGATCGGGTTTTATTTTTATTTTTTTAATTATAACAATTTTTTTAAATGTGTATTCAATGTTTCCAAAACAAAATGATCATGAATCAAGTCTTAAAGTCATCCTGAGGCCTTAGTTTTGGTTCCAACACATCATGTAATGTTATGCTTACTTTGAAGACAGTTTTCATAGAGCGCTTGTTGCTATTTCCTCAGGCCGCAAGTGTCCTTAATTTGAGCAGTTAAGCTAACGGAGTACTGAAAGCTGTTATTTTAGTTTTGATCCAATGCTGCACAACTGAACTGATCCAATGCTGCTTGAAAGAAAAAGCCATATCCATGTTGGATAGAATAGCCAATTTAATTAAAAAATACCTTAAGGGGACAACTTGAATGCTTTTTTTTCTTTTTTCTCTTATGCATTGCATAAAGATCCGGATCGGGAAAAATCGGTTATCGGCAAAATTGTCAAAATCAATGATCGGCAATTGGATCGCGAGCAAAAAAGGTGATCGGGCATCCCTAATAGGAATATATCTGTCAATCTGATCACTATGAAGCCCTCTCGTTCGACTAAGCATGTCTGTTAATCTGCCTGTTTCTGTATCGACTTTGGTATATACTTATTGTTTTTAAATGTGCTCTAAAATAAACTTCATTAATAATCTACATCCAGTTACTTGTTGATTATGAAGGGATTTTCCCCTTTATTTCACGTGCAGATTTGACCTGATTGGCATTAGGTAAAATTATTAATAAAAATATTAAAATATAAAGTGGATGAAACTGAGAGTGCCATTTAAGAAATATATACACATTATATAAAAAGCCTGAAATAAATGTTAGACTTCATATGCCCTATAAATAACCAATTATAAAGCAATATTTATACACATTTTACACTATATTTTATGTACGGTAAAGATTCCTATCGCAGGATTTAAGAAGTTGATCTCTGTAAGTTATTAGCGGTTTCCAAATGGTGTCAGATTTTGCTAACAGCTAGCAGGAAAAAGACGTGCAAGAAGACAGAGGACCTAAAAGAAGAGCTGATTAAGAACGAGGGAAAAGTTTTTGATTGGATAAAAAATTAAAGCTGCGGTCCTCCTACTCTCCCCGTCAGGACTCACTGTCACAGTGCGATACGGTTTGGTCCCGTCCTCCAGCGCCTGCCGGTGTCCCAGCCTTCCTTCCTAGCCCACACCCCCACTAAACTCGACCTGAGGCACACATCGTTATTTATACACATCACAAAAAAAAAAAAAAAAAATGTCCAATTTTGCAAAGACCCATAGAAACCACAGTTTACACAGAGAGACCGAGCATTGACCATAAGACTAGACAAGCTACATCAGGCCATCTACTGGCCACCTTAACTCAGGAGCATAATCTTCTTAAATATCAGTGCTTATAGAGCTATAACGAAACAAACACATCAAACACCACCGTTTTTTCTGTACCTTCCCTTCCCTTTGCCTCTTCTTTTAGGCGGTCCTTCCTTCATAGGTCTTCATCCTCCAGGTCCCAATCCAGGAAGTCATATGGCTCCAGCTTTTCTGTGTTGAAGCAATGGGGGAAATGAGAAAATTAAACAACAGATGAAGTATTTATATACCTGTTGAAATGACATTGTTATTACCATGATTACATTTGAAGATAACTAAACTGGCAAAATATATTTGAATCCTAACTTTTTTTGTGTAAACGACAAGTGTTGTTTGTTTTC